TAAGTGAGAACGAATATGATACTTGCAGGAATGCCAAAGCAGAGAGCAGTGCTAATCATCATACATAATAAAAGTGAGAACTGTATTTCAAACAATAAGAAGAATTGAATTTTATTACAAAATAAACTGACAGGAAAATTTTGTACCTGGGTGGCACAAATACTAAATAATGATGTGTAGCACAGCAATTTTTAGCATAATATGAAGAAAACACCAAACCAAACACCCATGACCAACACCAAGAGAATGAGCTAAATCCATTAATTTTCGCTCACCCACGGCAGTTGGCACCATTCCATTTCTAGCGAGTATAACTAAAAGGTATAAAGAAAAAAGAAAACTAAATAAATACCAAATCACACATGGTGATTGACAAATATTAATCAGTCACAGAAATTAAACACATGGCATGTCCAATGGTATAGAATCTAGGAACACTGTACAAGTAAAATCTCTCTGTTGACAACCTTGAGGTTATATACTAATGAAACATGGCCTGATCAACAACACTGTCATTCGCAACTGAATAAAGCCACAATGCCTTGCAGTCCACAACAGGAAAATTATTAAGTTAGCTGGATTTTCAAAAGGTGGTAATGTTAATTTAAAGCAAAATATTTAAAGAACTAATAAAACTAACAGTTAACCCCTCATATTTAGAATGATGCAGCTCATCATGGCTCTGTTCAGTATTGTTGTTGATAATTGAGTGAACTGAAATAAGAAATAAGAGTGGACCATAACAAGCTGGTTGACTACACAGGAACAGGCCCTTGAGTGCTCCATGTGAGGGGGCAATGAGGAGACACTGCAACACATTCCAGAGTCTTACAACTGGAAGCTAAAACAAAGACTAACTGTAAAGGTATTTCACATCATTCATAAGGTGATAAGCTGTCTTTATTTTGGGTGTCTTGTCTACCTGCTTTCAGCAATTGTTTTTTTACAGTGATGCAACAAAGTGAAGCAAATTGCAATTATATCTACATGGAGGCAGTTAAAAAACATGTAAATTTGTCTAAATTGGGTCCTAGTTAGACAACAATATCAATTCCATTATCATACTGCAGTGTTAGACCATGCTGTAATTATTAACTATAAGCAACATTACTGGAACCCTAAGTGCAATGAGGTCCACATATTTGAGATGGAGAAATGGAAAACTGAGGAATGTGGTACAAGGAAAAAACCAAGGTAGGAATAGAAAAGGAAGAAGATATGGGTTAGATTAATCATTTATAGAAATGAGGTGGGATAATGGGGGGTCAGAGATGTGTATGCATAACATTTGACTGTCTTTATTATTGTCATGCAGACACCACATTCATAAGTTCCCTGAGCAATGTGTGCGAACAAGATGGCCATGTGCACATCTTTGCACAGTTAGAAAATAAACACCAGCAATGATATGAATCTAAATGTTAAAATGATGCTGACAGTATGAATTGTTGCTTCCTGTGCAGAGGATAAATGCTGTACAAATTTCACCATTTCTTTGCTACAACCCCATCTGGTAACAACAGCATGCCACTTCTATCTTAAGCAATTCATTCCAGTAAGCCACAGAAAAACAGGCATGTAGGAGCATCTATGTTTATCTAGTGTTTCTATAACCACCTTATTAAACAAAAAATCACCAATTATGCATTCAAGAAGAAAATTTATGATTGAGGCTTCTCATAGCTACTTGGTATAATTTATACTGGTGTCAAGGATGTGAGTGAAGTTGCATACATCAAAGTGATATCAGATATATATGTCCAAAGTTACTCAGTGATCATCTGTCTGTGTCTTTCGCAGTGATATCTGCGTTCTAAAAGATGGCTGTCAGCATGGTAATGGCATATTTGCGTGCTTTCTACTCCTGAAAGATTTTAAACAAAATATTTTACAACCCACTTGTTCTAGGTAACAAAGTATCAAAAGTGCTAGCAAAACTTTACCGAAATCTACGAAATGTGGCAACACTAGAATACGTTCCATTAAGAGAAATAGAAGATTTTGATGCTGTGTGGAAGTCTCTGGTAGTGAAGGCTCTCACGGTTTAGAAATATAAGGCTTTGATGTTGCGTGGGACAGTCTCTGGTGGTGAGGGTTCCCACAGTGAGGGCACAGGGCATGAGGGAAGGAAAGAAAGAAAAAAAAAAAAAAAGTACAAAAACAGAGCTGTAGCACCACAAGTGGGCCAAGAGCACACAGGCAGCCAGCACTTACCATTAGGAACGGCTGCGGCAGGCTTCTTGGTTTGAACACGGGCAGTAGCATTGTTCACCTGGTCATATATAACAGTGAATAGAAGATTAAAAATTAATATTAAAATCGTTCACTGAAATTACTTTGATTACATAAATATTTAATGTCAGATGTCTTAGGATGCTCAAAAAACCAACATGCTTTTTTTTTTTTTTTTACAAGACTTGCAACACAAAGAATGGTCAAGGAGATGGCAGATGAAACATGCCATTGTAATTCAGTAGGTGACTAAGTGTCATACACAGCGTTACCTCAATCTTGCGACCTTCTACGACAGTGCCATTTAGAGATTCTCTGGCACGATCGGCATCAGCTGCAGACGCAAAGGTCACAAAACCAAAACCCTGAAATGCAAATAAATTTTAGACAAAAAATTAATTCAATATCACCAACTTAACATTGTCTTCCACACAACAATTTATTCATACGTGTTATTTATTCTCTTCCTCTCCTGATAATTTCCAGTACTTTCCTTCAAAGATTCCTATAATTAGATGCAAAAAATATTTGAATTATGTAAAATTTACTTAAAAATTTTAAACAAATCGCCAACTTACTGGCTTCAGGGTTGTGACAACTCGAAGAACTTGGGACTTTGCATTTTTTGTGGCCGATTTTTTCAGATTTCAAATGATTTTCTTTGTCTCTTTAGGTTGTTTTGATGATTAGGGACCAGATTATGGCTTTTTCACTTATATAAAGTATACCCTAAATATATCCCCTAAATCATTATACTGTAATTATTATAATTATCCCTATATATTTCTTTTTTTTTGGGGGGGGGGGAGGTTTCTTGACTTTATTTCGACACATACAAACCTACAACTTTCATATTCGAAAACAAATGCCAAGCAATGTTTATTAAAATATACTGTACAAGTAAATTAACGAATTCAAACCACGTTTATTCATTGTCGATATCTTCAACTTCAATTATCTTTAAAATTAGTGTTTCAACTTTGAGTGGCTTCTAAAATTCCAGTTTCTGACCGATTCTTACCATTTTGATATAATGTGTGCTCAGCTGTCTGTCCTGCAATCCCTTGAGAATTGATTTTTCATAAACCCTAAACGTCTAGAGTTATATATTTTTTTTTCTAAATTGGCCGCATATTCCAAATGCCATATTGAACATTTTTTTGCAGTATACTGAAAACCTATATCCTAATTTGATGAAAATGAAGATTACATGCTATTCTGATAGCATAACACCAAATGAATAATTGGTGATAGTTTATATTTTTTTATCTGATTTGAAAACCTGAAGTTTTCAATCGACTTGAGGACGGACTGAAACGTCGTCGTCCCTTCACCTTCTAGTGTGTGGTGTGGTCTGGTCAACATACTTTAGCCACGTTATTGTGACGCCTGCACTGAAGTTTTCAATACAGTATTTAATTTTAAAATGATTTTTTATTTTCTTGTTTTTCGAGTTATGTTGCTGATCAAGTCACAAAGTTGGAGCCTTTGCCGAGTTGATTATGCACAAAAAATTGGAAAGTGTTTGTGCAAGTTTTAAAAACTGATGTTATGGTCCAATCGTACATGTATGTTTTGCGCTGTTTAAGGGTTAAACCATGTCTTAAAATTAATTTAATTCAAATCCTTTATTTTTTTCTATTAACCACTGCACTGTGCACTGCACCGGCCAAGAAATCTCATTTGCCCATTACTGTGCCAACCAAGAAACCCCTTTTTAATTTTTTTGTTCATGGTCAAAACGCGATCACAGAAGGTAGTATACGAAATGGACTCCTGGGACCTCCAGTGAGAGGCAGCCATATTGAAAAAAATTCCCAGATTTCCCTAGGGCTGCTGGAAGGATCAGTTCCGAATGAGCAACCAAGGGGTGGCACAAGCACTTCAGGCTCCCAATCCCTTCAGAAGCAGTGTTGAAAGATCGCTTTCTGTCAGTGAAATTCAGACCCCTATTGTTTGAAGAACATAAGGGTCATGATATTAATGAAGCTAGGCACAATAAGGACCTAACAAGGGTCAGATGCAAGCAATACAGCACCGATGAGGACAATATTCCAGAACATGTAAGCCTATTTCCCATGCACATGGGTATCCAAGCCAGATGCGATGTAAATGTAATTCTGTTGTTGTTCTGCTCCTTTTCATCAAGATATGTGATTCAGTCAGGAGCAGGTAAGAGAAGAAGGAAATATCTAGAAGGTAAGGTGTAGTTATGGGATGAGAGCTATGCTCATGGTGTCCCATCTTCCCAAATTCTTTGTCAAATAACGCTTTGAAACTATTGATGGTTACTAGTCCTGTCCAAATCTCCTCCGTTTTTGCTTCGAAGGCCTCCCAGTCTATTGCTTTAAAGTTGAAGTCCCCCGGTATCAACAATCATGATTTATCTTCATCTGCTTGTACTATAATTTCTCTCATGACCATTATGAGGCCCTCTCGTTTGTTATCCAGTTCTTCCTTTGTCCATGTGTTGCTTGCTGGTGGGATGTAGGCATTTACAATTATCAGTTTATCTTCTTGATTCCAGACCTGCAATGCCATTATGTCAACTTTTTGAGGGGTTATCAAGTATTTACTCTCTTACATGTTCTTTCACCAGCACAGCCACTCCTCCTCCCTTCCTAGTTTTCCTGTCACGTCTGCAAACTGAGTAGCCCCTTGTGAATACCACCTCATTTAAAATATTTTCTTCAAGTTTCGTCTGTTAATCAGCTCCAATATTTTTTATCTAACTCCATTTATGTTGGTATATACAATTTTCAGGAACATGTTCCCTTTCCCTATGTTCTTTACACCCCCCTTCCACTAATGATTTTATTGCTTTGTTTTTATGTACCATTTCACTAGCTTTCCAGTCCCTGACACTTTGTAGAAAAAAATTCCTTTCTTCATTTCTATTCCCCTTAAGACGTTTTCCTTCAATGATGTGTATTTTCAGCTTTTATCTGTCCTCCTTTGAGATGTCTTGTCTTATTGACCAAAGTTGCCATATTCATCACTGCAATTTCCTGGCATTTCTAAGCACTTCCATCATTTGTTTCACTCCTTTAAATGTCACCCTTAAGGAGCAGTTCTAGTCTCATTTTCCTATCCTCCTAAAATCACAGGCATTTTCCTTTGAATTAAGGCCTCTTAATTCTACTATTTTGTCTATGATTTTCATCTCTTCTTCTACTCCCTAGATAAAATTTCCTTCTTAACCTAACCTAACTTCCTAACCTAACCTAACCTAACCTTAACTAAAATTCCCTTCTTAACCTTAATAACCTAACCTAACCTATCTGCAGTGTTTTGTACTAATTTATTGTTGGTTACTAGTCCTTTCCTAATTGCTTGCCTAATTTCCACTTCTTGTTGGTCATTTCTGGTTTTGACTTCCAAACACACTTCCTTGATCGTCTTTTTCTCTTACAATTTGCACATATTTCTTCTTTATACTTTTGTAGTTCTTTATTAACTTCCTCTATGTGAGTTGACAATGAAGTTTCTCCTTGCATAACCTTGTATAACTACATGTTAGCCCTCAGGGTTCCTTGGAGTTGTTCACCATGAGTATTTTCTTGTTTATTTCTTCAAATTCACCACTCTTCACTTTCCATGCCTCATTATCTTTCACTAGTTCCTTCATATGTGCCTCCTGTATCCTTACCTTATCAGTCAAGCTGGTAATTTCTTTACCTTGCTGGAAAATACTTCCTTTTAAATTACAAAAGCCTTCAAATTTATTTTTTACTCCACCAAATTACCTTAATTTTCTTGTTCTAATTTAATTACCTTTTCTTCATAATTCTTTAGCATCTACTCCATAATCACTAACCTGCCAAGATAACCACCTTTCATTATATCGTGTGCTGAGAATCCATTTGTTGGTGTGCTGCCCTCCCTTAAGATGGCCGCCACCACAGGGAAGGGTGCCTTCCCATGTACTTGCCTATTTGTGCTTGCGGGGGTTGAGCGCTGGCTCTTTGGTCCTGCCTCTCAACTGACAATCAACTAATGTACAGGTTCCTGAGCCTACTGGGCTCTATCATATCTACACTTGAAACTGTGTATGGAGTCAGCCTCCACCACATCACTTCCTAATGCATTCCATTTGTCTACTACTATGTGAGTGCTCCCTGAAGATTTAAGTAATACTGTACATGTAATGAAAAATATGGTCACTATGGTCACTAAAATAACAATAGAACTTACCTTTGATCCTCGCTCATTGAAGATGATTTCCACATCAAGTATTGTGCCGAATTTCTGAAGGTGCAACATTAAATCAGGTTGAAAGAAATTAATAATTTAAATGTATACATTTTTTCAAGACAATATTATTGAACATTTGTTTTTATTATGTTTTTAGCATTCAAAATACTGTACAACTATTAATATCACTGAAAATTACAATAATACTGCCCCTATACACTTATCTATATTCACTAATACAGTATTTTAATATAAAAACAAACACTACAGTAGAAGAAATTTCCCATGATTATTCACACAACTAGCTAGTACAATTTAAAGCATCAAATTTGTAACTTTAGAAAATGAACATGCCAAATATCATGTAACAAAACAAAAAGTCAAACTTACACCAAACATATTTCTGAGATCTGGGTCTCTAAATCTGAAGGGAATATTTGATACATGTAGGCGCTTTGGCTGTTCCTTGGTGGGTGCCGGAGTACCAGGTTGTCCATTTGCTGCAGCATCACCATTCTCAGCCTCATTCTGTTGGTATATCAAATGCAATTTAATTTTATGGTGAAACTAGCATTGCAAGACTTTTCTTACAAGTAAAAAATACATATCCAAGACCTAACAAACACACATCCAATGTGAAGAAATAAACAAATTGGATAAAGTGCAGTGCAAAGACATGCCACTAAGTGGCTCCCAGAACTGAGGGACAAGAGCTACGAGGAGAGGTTAGAGGCATTAAATATGCAAAAACTAGAAGATAGAAGAAAAAGAGGCGATATGATCACTACGTTCAAAATAGTAACAGGAATCTATAAAATTGATAGGGAAAAATTCCCGATACCCGGAACTTCAAGAACAAGAAGTCATAGATTTAAACTAACGAAACAAAGCTGCAGGAGAAATATAAGAAAATTCACTTTTGTAAACAGAGTGGTAGACGGTTGGAACAAGTTAGGTCGGTCCGTCTAATTACCACAAGCTACACAAGCTTCAGAAAGCTTCCTGGCAATACGTTAGTAATGAATAAATATGATATATTTACTCATTATAATGTTGGTGCTGAATGTACAACACGAAAAAACAATTTTAATCTGAAAAAGTATCTTTTTATAAAGAAATTAGACGAAAATAAAAAGCTGGTGACGCCAAATCAAGTCGGCGATCCAGGCTTCGGTTAGGTTAGGTTAGGATAGGATAGGATAGGATAGGATAGGTTAGGTTAGGATAGGTTAGGTTAGGATAGGTTAGGTTAGGTCAACCTAACTTAACATCATATTTTTTCATTACTAACGTATTGCCAGGAAGCTTTCTGAAGCTTGTGTAGCTTGTGGTAGCTTGTGGTAATTAGACAGACCCAGTTAGGTGGGAGGATGGTGGAGGCCAAAACCGTCAGTAATTTCAAAGCGTTGTATGACAGAGTGCTGGGAAGACGGGACACCACGAGCATAGCTCTCAGCCTGTAACTACACTTAGGTAATTATACAAAACAAACAAACACACACACACACACACACACACACACACACACACACACACACACACACACACTTCTCTCTCTGACAGTCTCTGTGGTGTAGTGGTAAGACACTCGCCTGGCGTTCCGCGAACGCTTTGGCATGGGTTCGTATCCTGGCGGGGGAGGATTTACTGGGCGCAAATCCTTAACTGTAGCCTCCAGTGAGGGGGGGAGGGAGTATATACATGGGGCAGTGTGAAATTGGTTGATGATCACAGGTATGTGACAAATGTAGAAGCTAAGGTGAAGTAGCCAGGTGACGCAGGTGTGGCTGATCAATATTGGCCCATGACAGTCCCACCAGTTCCAGGTTTCCTTGCTCGCCTCCTTCCTCTCCCACTTGCTTAACTCCTTCCTCTCTCACTCTTAATTTTTCTCCCTCTCTAGCTCGTCTGCTCTTTTTAGCCTTCTATGCACACTATGTTACTGTACTCCCATAACACATGCCCACACCTTCCTTGAACACAACCATTCTCACAACCTGTTCTCTTACAGAGAACGTCTCATTTCCATAGAATGCGCTACGTAAGGCCTAAAATGTTCATACTAAAAAATAGAAGGAGCTCGTGAAAGTGACGTACTGCCTCTTTCTGTTTTGGGTCCTCTGGTAGGTTAGGAGAGGACACTTTAATTTGACCGTTTTCTTGACGGCGGGAAATCATAGGAGGTGTACTAGTGTGCTTCACTAGCACACATAAGACCACTTAACCTAAGAGTTTCGAGCAGTGTGGGGAGAGTTCGATTAGAGGATTGTTCTTCAGCTATATCTTGCTCTGGTTAGGCCCCATTTAGATTATGCAGTTCAGTTTTGGTCGCCGTACTATAGAATGGATATAAATTCACTTGAACGTGTCCAGCGTAGGATGACAAAGTTAATTACACACAGAAATCACAATAGCGTGATGCATCAAATGAATTAATAAAGTTAATTCCCCAAATTAGAAATCTTTCATATGAAGAATGATTAACAAAGCTTAAATTGCATTCACTGGAAAGGCGAAGAGTTAGGGGTGACATGATAGAAGTTTACAAGTGGATGAATGGACATAACAAAGGGGATATCAATAGGGTATTAAAAGTATCAACCCAAGACAGAACACGAAACAATGGGGTATAAATTGGATAAGTTTAGATTTAGGAAAGACTTTGGCAAGTACTGGTTCGGTAACAGGGTTGTTGATTTGTGGAGCCAATTACCGTGTAACGTGGTGGTGGGGTCCCTCGATTGTTTCAAGCATGGGTTGGACATGTATACGAGTGGGATTGGGTGGTTATAGATAGGAGCTGCCTCGTATGGGCCAATAGGCCTTCTGCAGTTACCTTTGTTCTTATGTTCTTAACTACAGGAGATGGGGGGGGGGGGGGAGCGTCTCGGTCGACATAACTCCAGGTGGGGGGGGGGGGGTCTCGGCCGACATAACTGCAGGTGGGGGGGGGCGTCTCGGTCGACATAACTCCAGGTGGGGGGGGGGGTCTCGGCCGACATAGCTACAGGTGGGGGGGGCGTCTCGGCCGACATAACTACAGGTGGGGGGGGGGGCGTCTCGGCCGACATAACTACAGGTGGGGGGGGCGTCTCGGCCGACATAGCTACAGGTGGGGGGGGGCGTCTCGGCCGACATAGCTACAGGTGGGGGGGGGGGGCGTCTCGGCCTACATAGCTACAGGTGGGGGGGGGGCGTCTCGGCCGACATAACTCCAGATGGAGGGGGGGCGTCTCGGCCGACATAGCAACAGGTGGGTGGGGGGGCGTCTCGGCCGACATAACTCCAGGTGGGGGGGGGCGTCTCTGCCGACATAACTACAGGTGGGGGGGGGCGTCTCGGCCGACATAACTACAGGTGGGGGGGGGCGTCTCGGCCAACATAACTACAGGTGGGGGGGGGGCGTCTCGGCCGAGATAACTACAGGTGGGGGGGGGGCGTCTCGGCCGACATAACTACATGAGGTTGGGGGGGGGCGTCTCGGCCGAGATAACTACAGGTGGGGGGGGCGTCTCGGCCGAGATAACTACAGGTGGGGGGGGGGGCGTCTCGGCCGACATAACTACATGAGGTTGGGGGGGGGCGTCTCGGCCGAGATAGCCGTGTTCCATTCGTCCACATAACTAGAGAATTTGTTAAATTTAATACCGGCATCCAGTCACAAGAAGAATAGGTGTCATTACCACACTCTTCCTTCCTGCTGACGAAGCCAGGCGTCAAGCAGAGTCAGCAGCTGACTTAAGAGTCATCAACCATCTCTCCTAAACTACACTTGGATCAAACTAGGCCAAAATTATTGCAAAACAAGCAGTTGAGCCCTTAAATCACTTAATAAGAAACTTGTTTACAATATGATTTATAAGTATTTTGAATGTGAATAGTAAGCATGTATTCATCTGGGTGCATGTTTGCCTGTATGCCTGATCTTGCATGTGTGCATGCCTGTACATATGTCTACATGCACATGTTCGTGTGCAAGCATGTATGTGCATACCTGTGCAAGTGCGTATCTGTGCGTGTGTGAATGAGTAGTATAAGGGAAGAGGTGGGTGATGGTAGCCACTTACCGCATTGACCACTTGCTGCTCCACACCGTTGGCAACGACAGGTGGACCCACAGGAACCTGCACCGCCATGCCTCCCGCTACCGTCGCTCCGCTGTGGGGGGGGGGACAACATTACTACAACACAACACCAATTGACTTATCACACACGAGTCAGGGCTAGGGTGCAGTGGCTGGAGACACGGTAAAGCGAGGAGGAGAAGGGGAGGGGATAGAATATTGCAGTCAAGAGGCATGGAGGGTTGAGGAAGGTTCAGGAGAGGAAAGAAAGGGGATGGTTGGGGAGGAGGCTTACAAATCAAGCCTGGCTTGGACTCGGGCCGGCTTGGGGAGTAGAACAACTCCCTGAACCCCATCAAGCAGGAGGAAGAGACCATGGTCGGGGAGGAGGGAGAGGGGGAATACTGTACCCACCTTCTGGGTACCTACCTTGTGTAGCTTCCGGGGATCAACAGCACCGCGGCCCGGTCGGGGAGGCGACATTTTTGTGTCAAAAACGATTATGGTCCATGGGGATCATGCCCTTTGTGTACTTCCCTCTCGCAGGGTCGCTGAGCCTGCGGGCCGCTCCAAGCAATAGCCTAGTGGACCAAGCTCTCAAGTTTTTCTTTCTGTTCTAGTTTCCTTTCTTGAATCTGATATGAACGCTTTAGTCTCTGCTCGATTTCTTCAATCTTCCTGTTTAAATTATTCCTTTTTTGTAGGAAAAGTTGTGTCTGCTTAAGCATTTCCGTTATTTTGTTTCCTTCTTTTGTTGTGTCGTCGGCGTTCTCTTTCTACGTTCGACCTCTTTCTATCTCTCCTCAAAGGAACATGTTTCACACTTTATATACTTCAGAAGTCAGTTTTTCTATTCTTTATGTAGGATTTTTATTACTTGGAACACTTTCCCATTGAATGTTTGTAAGTTCCCTGTTTATCTTCTCACAGTTTATCCTTTTATTATTAAAATTGAATTTACCGAATAACCCCTCTCGCTTGATCATTGTTTTAGGTCTATATTGAGTATTGATGGTAGTTTGCACTTCAATGAGCTTGTGATCTGAGTATGTGGTATCTGAGATCGTCATGTTTTTCATTATGTCTTCATTGTTTGTGAAGACCAGATCTAGAATATTTATGTTCCTAGTTGGCTCTGATATTTGCTGGTTGAGTGAAAATTTGTGACGGAATCTATGTAATTCTAATCTTTTTTTATTATTATTATTTTCTACCACAGACATGGCCTGTGGTTGGTTTATGTCCCGAGAGATTTCCCGATATAATATTATTGTTTGCTATTCTCCATCTTAAACTAGGCAGGTTGATGTCACCTAGGAAGATAATATCAGGTATCTGGTTTGCCAAATTATCAAGGCTATACTCTATTTTGTTTGTCTGTCCTGTGAATTCCTCTGCCGTTGCATCTGGCTGTTTGTATAGTAGAATAATCAAGTTTACTTTCTCTATTTTTACTCCCAGTACTTCTACCGCCTCATCTGAAGAGTTAAGGAGCTCTGAGCATATTGGGTCTTTCCTAATATACAGACCCACTCCTCTATGTGACCTATTTACCCAAACACACCTGCATAGATTATATCCTGGTATCCAGACCTCACTGTCCAATAATTCCCCTGCATGGGTTTCTATTTGGGGTAGTTTGACTGGGAGACTTTTCTGGCAGGTCCATTATGCGTGTTTGTTCTGACTAGTACTAACTACAGCCCCTCTCCTGTGCCAGGTAAGTCCACAACGGGCTCACCATAGCCCGTGCTACTTGGAACGTTTTGTTCCGAGTAGCTGAACTAAAACAACAATATAGTACTAACTGTTGTAGGGTTGTTGCCCGTCGTAGTTGTAGCTCTGTTGTGGTGTGTAATTGGATCTGTGATTCTGGTATGCAAGTGAGTGTCATCCAGTTCCATACATTCTCTATGTGCCCCCTTTTGAAATCTCTCTCGGCTGGGGTTAAAAATTATTTGAGTTTCCTCCAAATACATTATCTTGCTTGCCACTCTTTATGTATCGTTCCGTGCCCTTCACGTGAAAGTATGGGCAACTGAGGTCATAGCATTTTCTGTCCTCGAGTGAGGTTTTGCACATGGAAAACCTGCATGTTGATCCAAATCGACACTTTCTTTTCCTAAGCATATATAAACATTTTCCGGGATGATGGTAGCTGCATTCTCGTCCATTTCTATTTCCATAATACCCATGTCTGCTAATGTCCCTTACATAGAAGTTGCATGTCTGTTCTTCTGGTCTGGTCTGTCTCTCCATCGGGGACTGGTGTAGTTTCTGTAGCTACCGCCGAGCTGTCAATGTTGTGTTACACTCTCTAGTCTACCGCCATCATAGTATCCGTGCATACTAAATCAGAATTTAAAACGTCTTGAATTTCTGTTTCGGTTTCCTACCTGTCAATAGCCTCTGCAAAATCTTACTGAAGCGACCATACGAGTCATAAATACTCATACTCCGCCCAAGTAAAACAGAAACAAGCAACACTTAGTGGGCCAGCCAGAGGCTTAGGGTCCGCGCAGGAATATCCCTACAAAAAAAAAAAAAAGCCTCGGCTTCTGGTCTATTATTATTTAATTTTGACATGGTTCACCCCAGATCTTTTACATTGTTTTTTCGTTCTCAAGTGTGATTTGATTCCGTTTTAAATATACCTTGTGATGGTTTCAAGGCTTAGTGTCCCGGCGGCCCGGTCCTCGCCCAGGCCTCTTCGTTGCTGGACTGGTCAACCAGGCTGTTGAACGCGGCTGCTCGCAGCCTGACGTATGAATCACAGCCTGGTTGATCAGGTATCCTTTGTAGGTGTTTATCGAGTTCTCTCTTGAACACTGAGGGGGGGTCGGCCAGTCATGCCCCTTATGTGTAGTGGAAGCGTGTTGAACAGTTCTTCCTCAGAGTACTTGTCTGTGTCCGATATGATAATGAGAGAAAAGTACTGGAGCAAGCACAGTACCCTGGGGGACTGAGCTCTTCACGGTTGATGGTCCAAATTTTATTTTGTTGACTATTACACATTGGGTTCTATTAGTCAGGAAATTGTAGATCCATCTGCCTATTTTTCCGGTAATTCTTTTGCACGCTTTTTGTGTGCAATAACACCATGGACACATTTGTCGAAGGCTTTTGCGTAATGTGTGTAAATAACATGAGCGTTTTGCTTGTCTTCCATGGCACCTGAGGCCACGTCATAGAGACCCTGTACCTGTGAGAGGCAGGAGCGCCCCATTTTAAACCCGTGTTGTCTGGGGTTATGTACACGATGTGATTCCATGTGATTTGTTATCTTGCTTCTCTTTCTCTACTTACTACTTAAGAGTTGCACTCTTTTAAAGATTTGAGTGTGTGAAGTTAGAGCTATTGGTCTATACTTTTTGCATCTGATTTACTACCTCCTTTGTGAAGTGGCGCGATATCCACTGTTTTAAGTCAGTCAGGGATGACGCCAGTATCTAGTCGCCGTCTCCGAAAGATGTTTAGGGCTTGTGATAGTGGTGTTACGCACTTCTTGATGAATATAGTATTCCACAAGCCTAGGCCTGCTGCAGAGTGCATGGGCATGCTGTCTATGGCTACTTCTAGGTCCAGTGCGGTTACCAGGTTAGGGTGACATCTGATGTGTGGTTCCATGTTGGTGTCACAGTCATGAAAAATTCATTTGGATCATCAGAGGTCGGAGAGCAGGGAGAACGGGAATGGTCAGGAGAGAAAGGGAAAGGTCGAAGGGGGAGAGGAAAAAGGGAAAAGTTGACAGTTGCTTTAGGGGCAGTAAAGACTGAGAGGTACAGGTAAAGGAATAATGTTATTAGTGTGGAAAACAATGTACTCGCCTAATTGTGCTTGGGGGGGGGGGGGCTCCTTGGTCCCGCTTCTCAACTGTCAATCAATGTGTGTGTAGGTAAAGGGGGGGGGGGTAGTGTAGCTAAGCTTGCTTTCTTCTGCCAGGGGAGTTATTTGGAGTATGTTCTTTAACATAGGTGAATATCCGTATATAGATACTCGGATGCTTATGTACACGTCGGGAGAAATGGCGGGAAGGGAAGGAGGGTGGGGAGGGGAAGAGGGAAAGAGGGAGTAAGAGGGGGAGGAGGTGGGGGGAGGGAAAGGGGATAGTAGGAGTGGGAAGGGGGAGGGGGAAGAAGGAGGAGGGAAGGGGGAAAAGAGAAGAAGGGGGAAGAGGAGGGGAGAAGGAGGGGGGAAGGGGGAGTAGGAGGAGGGGGGAGTAGGAGGAAGGGGGAGTAGGAAGGAGGGGAAAGGATGGGGGAGTGAGGGAAGGGGTGTATGAGACAGAAGCCACTCACCTGGAGGAGACTGTGACAGGCACGCCTGGGACGGCGGCGGTGGGTGTGGTCTGAGGCGTTGGAGGAGCTCCAGGGGCTCCTGGTGGAGGCGCCCCTGGCGCTCCGGGCGGTGAGAAGGGCGGACCATCTTTCCCGGGACCTTCTTTACCCGCCCCCGCCTCGCCGTTCTGACTGTACGGGAACGACGCCGCCATCGTTGTTTGCACCATGTGCTGAAACACAAGGAAATTCAATTAGCGTTCCTACACAATATTTATGCTTACGGGGCTTGGAAATTTTCGAACTAGAACCCTATTCTAGAGTATGGTACAGTCGGTGAAGCAGCTGCCTGTGTCATGGATCGTAGCGTTTCAGTCGAGTGATACATACTAAATGAGCTCAAGTTCGCTTGCATCTTGAGGCCAGGTCAATCCTTTTTGGGTTTGTCACTTGAGCATCTGAGAGACGCTGAAGGCCTGCGTAATAAACTGTTTCCTTCGTGGACAACCAAGACTGACATTACAATACAAATCTTCAGCTGGCAGCATTTAGAATATTCGTAGAGTAACCAGTGCCTGGCACAGTAACGAGTGCCTGGCACAGTAACGATATCAAAGATACTCTACAGATATCTTTATTTAACCTTTGGGTTAGGTAAACAATTATTTTACATTACTATTCTTTATTCTTTAATAAAAATGTAAAGAACCCTAATATTGAAGTTCCCTATGAACACGGCCTCAATAGGTTAGGCGTGTTTGGAATCGTGCGATTCTGGTTATGCCAATCAGTAGCAATTTTTACACTGCTAAATGCGAGACCTGCTCTTCACCCAGTGAAGAGCAGGTCAGTGAAGAGCACCTCTGCACCTATGGCACCTCTGCTCTTCACCCAGTGAAGAGCAGAGGTGCCATAGGCACAATCAGAGAACACTGTATAAACATCGGAGGTAACAACCGTGGACATCTTCAAGAGAAAACTAGATAGTTTTATTTTGCCTTTGTTGAATAGAACACTGCCAGCCTTCCCTTGTGATGTTTCCAGGGTACAAGCCGCAGTGTTACACCAATCATTAACATGATGTATGAATATATGTTGATCATAATCATCCCTACAACAGATTATGTGGGTGTAAAGTGCCTTACCTCGCCTCACGCCACATATACAGCATCACACCCACATGTGTGCTGGGACAACAGGTGTACGGAAGGAATTAAGTTACACCTGGCACTACAACACCAAACATTTGCCACCGACCAACTGTACAATAACCTGGAGGAGGTTCCAGCTCCTACAACCCAGTCTCGCAGAGAGACACCCTCCGCGGCCTCATCCTCCGGGTTTGTTAGTTCAGGTAACTCAAAATCGCGCACACACAAATCCTTGAGTTCACAAAGCATGCACGCATTATTACGGTAAGTGCACCCACGAGCGACGCATCCACCCCAACCCAACCCCCCCAATCCTCACGCAAGTGCACCCTCCCCTCTTCCCCATGCATGCGCCACACCCAACCCCCCTTTCCCATGCTGGGGTTCAATGCCAATAAGTGATAATGAGGAAGAAGATTGATTGATGAAGATTAAGCCACCCAAAAGGTGGCACGGGCATGAATAGCCCGTAAGTGGTGGCCCTTTTGAGCCATTACCAGTATCAAGAGCTGATACTGGAGATCTGTGGAGATGCGACTGCACCCTGCGTGACGGGAGATGTCTCCCGGCGAGGAAGGAGAGACAAGAAAGAGCTACACCATACAAGTACCTACAGGGATCGGAGAAAAACGAGATTTGAGAATGTATAGAATTCCATGGCTAACGTCAGAGGCGCGCACGGGTTACCTTGCGGTTATCTTGAGATTACCTTGCGGGTAGTTGACCCTCCAAAGGATACCTGATCAACCAGGCTGTGACTCGTACGTCAGGCCGCGAGCAGCCGCGTCCAACAGCCTGGTTGACCACTCCAGCAACGAGGTCTGGGCGATAACCGGGCCGCGGGGACGATAAGCCCCGAAACCAACCCAAGGTATAGACAAGGTAAGGAGAAGCGAGAGTTTGGCTAAGTGAAAACACGACAAAATGCTACATTAGACATTTTGGTCTCTTATGAAGGTACAGTACATGCTTTACGGCTTTTTGTGGTAACTGTTTTGAGAAATGGGAGGGGAAGGTGTGGATGATGGTGTGGAGGCAGCAGCAGTAACCCCAGCAGGGTGAGGCAGCAGCAGTAACCCCAGCAGGGTGAGGCAGCAGCAGTAACCCCAGCAGGGTGAGGCAGCAGCAGTAACCCCAGCAGGGTGAGGCAGCAGCAGTAACCCCAGCAGGGTGAGGCAGCAGCACTACCTAGGAGTGGCGTCACCCCCAGTATCGATCAGGTGACAATGTGTCTGTTAATGATCCGACGGCACCAACATACTTCGCGTGCCACAACCTCTCACACCCAAACTACTTGCGACATCTTCCCAAAGCTGTGCCAGCAATAAGCAAATAGCTTAATATAAACACTACTATGAATAACAGAGCCGTTTCACAAAACCCCTTTTATTTTCTGATCTTGGCCTACAGATGTAAATACAGAGGACTTTGTAGCTAAACTTAATGATCAAGTCACCTCTATAAAATTCACTATGGAGACAAATTGATAAACGTTTGCCATTCTTAGATATACTTATTCATAGGGAAGATATTTCACTAAAGTTTAGTGTCTACAGAAAACCTACGAATAATTTATCTTATGTTCATTATTTCTCAGGGCATAGATACAATGTAAAATAATTCATTTTTTCATCTATGTATCTAAGAGCTCTTCGGGTTGTTAGTCCAGAATTCTTAGATGAAGAGTTTAAGAATATTGCTTCTATTGGTCTCAAGCTTTGTTATCCACTGAGTTTTTTTTAAGTTTGCCGTAGCAAAGCACGCCGCACATATTATAATAATATATGCAGTGAGAAATTTCACCCAAAGAATGTGTTAGATTTGCCATATTGTTCTGGGTTTGAAAATATTGTTAAGGCCTTCAAAATTTCTGATATACATGTATTGTTTAATTACGAAAACACTGTTGGCAAACTATTAGTTAGAAACAGTGCTCGTAGTGATAATTGTGTCATTTATAAAATATCTTGTAAAGACTGTAATAAGTTATATGTAGCGCAAACATATAAAGATTTGAAATTTCGAATTTCGCAACAAATATTCTAAGTCATGGCCAATTGTCTAATGCTTTCTTTGTTCATTTATCAGAAAATTCTCAACAAATTGATTGGGAGATTGGGAGATGGTTTCTCCAATAACGAATTGTAAAAACACTTTCAATAGGAACATAATTGAATCTGCTTTAATACAGATTTCAAACTCATGTAATCTAAACATTAGCAGTAGTTTGTATAGTTTAGATCCATTTTTGATTGATCAGTTAAGGGGCGATTTGAGTAGGATCATTGATACACATTTGTCTCACTAATACCTTATTAATATTCACTATCTCATTATAGATATTAGAACATAAGAATAAAGGTAACTGCAGAAGGCCTATTGGCGCATACGATGCAGCTCCTATTTATATCCATTTTTGATCCAGTGAATCCCATGCTCTATGTTCCTCACCTCCCTTCACCTCTTTCCAGGCTATATATGTCCAAACTACTGACTTTTAAATTCACCTTTCTGAAGATGTATTATTAACTACGAAAGTACTCAAGGAAATTCCTGTTTCAATTCTTCCTTCGTGGTCTGACACTGTCACATTTTTCATCACGTGTTAATTTTCGTGATTTACACACACACACACACACTATAATAATATATAATATATATTATTATAATATATATTTTATATATAATATATATATAATATATATTATAATATATATTTTATATATAGTATATATATATATATATATATTATATATATATATATATATATATATATATATATATAGTATATATATATATTATATATAGTATATATATATATATATATATATATAGTATATATAAATATATTTCAGTCTGGTGTTGACAAAGGCTTTAACAAAGCCGAAACGTTCACCTCATTTCATATTTCTCTGTGGATTTTCCGCATATAGTATATATATAATATATATTATTATAATATATATTTTATAATAATATATAATAATAATATATATTCGGGCCGAAAGCGGCGGCCCGCTTTTCCTTACCAAGAGGATAATACACAGTGGAGGTGAGTTCTGTAAGAGATATAAACCAGAGATATAAAGAGATATCGTTGGTGAAACCAAATTTCACCAACGATAATGTTCAAGACATTGGAGTGGAGAGAGACGGGGGCGAGAAGAAACACACACTCACTGTTGGGAGGAAGTGTCTCATGGGTGAGGTGGATACCGCGGCGAGCTTGAGCGCGTGTACACACGTGCACCCGTCACTGTTGACACAGAATAACTAGGAGAGAGCGGCGGCGGCGGGGGAGCTCTCCACCTGTGGCCTCTTGGCCAGTCACGCACAACCTGACATACCACGCTACACACCTGTAAACAATGCCCCGTGAATATCTAACCTCTACTGCACGCTAACATCCTTTCGGCTCCTTTCACAATTCTCACAAACCCCTTATTCGCGGGATCTCACATCCCCGGGTATATATATTATTTATCCGAATGATCAGAGGTAAATAGTCATGATCAACCGACTGTAATTCATGTCAGAATGCTCCGTTCAGCAACGGCTAACGGCCTGGTTGACCAGACCCCCAACTAGAGGCCTGGTCAGAGATTGGGCCACGGGGGCATTGATCCTCGGACCTATCTCTAGGCAAGATAAGACTTACCAACCTGTGAGCGAGATGGAGGTCGTGGGTGGCGCAAGTTACCGCTACTGCCTCACTATGAAGTAATCACGGGTCATTACAACTTGTATTCAACAACAGCAATCAATACAATTACCACGATGCACTTTCTCCAGACCCCGCATCTCAAGGTCTGCACTACCACTAATTGAACCCTCCACTCACAGCGGAACCCATCACAACCACTCACAGGATGGGCGTGGGGTCCACCGCCACTCACAGGATGGGCGTGGGGTCCACCGCCACTCACAGGATGGGCGTGGGGTCCACCGCCACTCACAGGATGGGCGTGGGGTCCACCGCCACTCACAGGATGGGCGTGGGATCCACCGCCACTCACAGGATGGGCGTGGGGTCCACCGCCACCACTCACAGGACGGGCGTGGGGTCCACCACCACTCGAGAG